CGGCGCGGGGCCGGGATGAGCAACCTGGGAGCCACGAGGAGCAGGAGGCATCGCCCGGGGCCGGGGTGCGCCGGGACAGCCGCACTGCCCCACACAGTGTGGGGAACGCGGGGCAACGCGCGGGGAAACAGCGCAGCGCGGGTATCGGCGAGACAGAGCAAGGCCAACACCCTCCACATCTACTACACAGCGTAAAGACCTAAATGTGACTGCTAAAACACTGATTTCTCACATGGAGTGTATAAACACCCTATAAGAACAGCTTATCAAAACTGAAGCATCCTCCTCTCCCCTCAAAAGAAAGGAGGCAGGAGAGCTTCAGCAGTTACTCCTTGTCTCCTCACACCATATGAAACCTTAAACTGTGTTTATGACTAACTCATCAGGTCCAGTACTGAATGAGACAACCCAAAATATCACGTTCCCTGGACTCTACTCCCTCAATATGCACAACTCAAACGATGGGAAGGATGATACACTGTAAACCAGGGCCAAGGTTTAATTCAGAATTTCAAACCTGGATTCAAATTCACTGGAGACAAACTTAACCCTGTGCCACACTGCAACTTCAGGGTATTTCTTATATTAGGGAATAAGCAACTGTTGCACAAACGAGAAAGAAAAAAAAAATCAATGATAAAAGGAGTGAAAATTTTAGCATAAAATAGGAACTTCAGGAAAACGTCACAGAAAGATGCTGCAAGATAATAAGGAAAAAGGGCATCCATTTGAGTTTTTCTTTTGTTTTAGTATCTAAATAAGATAATGGATTAGAATGTATTTATATGCTAAAGAAAACTAATTAAAGAGTAACTGAAGCATACTCTACTGGCACCCTTACATTATCATAAATTGTAACATATATTATTGCCAAACCATTATGACCCTTACCGTCTTTTTCTTCCTCTAATATATTTTGTTTCTAAATAAAATTGTGCTTTTTATTGTTGTTGTAGTAAATATTTCTCTGAAAAAAGCTGTAAATTTAGTCTTAGATTGAATTTGTTACTTGTTTATGCCAAGGCATCTTTTACAATATTAGGATTTGTAATATATTACTTAGAAATACATCATAAAACAGGCCACAATTAACCTCAGCTGAGCTATGCCAATTTGTATTAGTTATGAAACACTATTATCATTTGTGTGATTATGGCATAGTGCACACCACATTTGAATAATTTTAATTGCTGTTTTAAATTACAGTTATATTTTCACAATGACATGATTTCACCATAAGATAAACCTGTGTACAGCTGGCTTTTCATTCAAAATTAAAAGTATATGTAATGAGATTACTTACTGCACATTTTCTGTGAACATGACTGCATAAAAGAAAATTTTAATAAAAAATTAAAATAGTACCTGACCTTGAACATGGCTTTTTTTTTTTTTTTCCCTCGCAGAACAATGAAATCATGTTTCATGTTCTTGTAAGAACTTTTTTTGGAGAAAAATTGTACCACTATTCAAACCTAATGTCTATTATAAATTTAATGTGAATCTGCAAGAAACTGAGGGACGAAAGCACAAAATCAAATGATGAAATAAAAGGATGAGAATAGCTCCTAAAGAGGTAATAAAGTGCATCTAGTTAATGACAAAAAATGTCTCCTCTTTCATTAAAGGCAAAACATATTAAAATTGACAGCAGTGCAGCTTTTTCCAAAACAGACTGTGTCAACGGTATCTGTTGCATATATTTATTCCATCTGCAGTGATGCTATACTGTTCGGGAGAGGACTAACGTATAACTAACAATTTGTCTAAATAACAACTGTCAGAGACCGTTTTCACAGGAGGATTCAGAAAATGAGTGCAGAGAAAGTGGGCATTAACCAATATTTGAGAAGGCTAATATGCTAATATGACTTTTTTTAAGGGAGTATACAGCATAACTCATGGCAATATCAATTAAGCGTGTTCCAACCATATGTGTTTTCATGACTAGAATGTTAATATAACAACAAGGATTAAGTGAATCATGATTTTTTTTTCCAACTATTTTAAGCCAAAACCCGTAATTTTGTGTCACATGAAAAATACAAAGTTATTTTAAGTAAGACTACTCTGATACGCAATTTTGCTATAATATTCCAATAGTAAACCACCCCCAAATATCATCCATCTCTGCTGGGTCACCTGACAACTGAGGAGATACACAAGGAACAAAAAATGTGTGAAAAAAGTATTAACAAACAAACCCCTCAGGTTCAGTTTTGTCGTCATTATAATCAGCTGAGTACTCTCACTCAAGGTACTCTCAATTCTGCTTTTTGCAAGAATAATTTATTTCTTGCAAGGTTCTCTACGTCACTCATAAACATAAAAAGCAGTGTGTAAAACTATATGTAAAAAGGCTAGTTAAAGAGCTCTTTCGTCCCTTATACAATAAGATGGTTTTTGTCTTCTATCCATGAACTTTAGTTAACAAATAAGGATCACCCATCCATAATAGCCAAAGTCAGGTGTTCCGATCTTCTCTACTTCATGGGAAAAGTAAAAAGTGGTTTGGGGGTTTTGTGTTGTCTTTTTTATATGCATAGTAATTTGAAAACTCAGTAGGTCACTGAATTTCTTACATTTGCTTCATTATCTTGGATAACTATAATCTGTTAATGTATCGAAAAACAATCATTAAGGCCTCACCTGTATCCTTTCGACTTCTAAAAAAGTTGCTGTTTGGAAGGCTTTTTCCCATAGCGTTAGGTCAGACTCCAGTTCCACAGAAAAGTAGAGATCTTCTCCCGTCTCAGACTGGACACCAAAGCACTGTTTCCTTCGGTCCAGTAGGTCACTGTCCTGATGAAAACCTGAAGTTATATAATCTGGCATACATCAATTAATATTTCATAGTACAATTGCCTATGCCTCAAACTTAGCAATTTTTTTTTAAATGGTATTTCAAAAGTTATAATGCTGAGGTAACTACTGAGAGCTCAGGAACTGAAAATTAGAATTTTGGCCTAAATGCTGACATCTCAATGAATCTTAAGCACACTTGTCTTCAGAATGGTACAGAACAACACAGGGTATCTTGGTTTACAGAACACTCTGGCATAGTTTGAAACATCCTAACAAGTCAATTCTCAACATATTACCATGAGCTTTCAAAACAGATAAATTCTATAAAACGTGCAATCTTTCCATTCACCTGAGAAACATTAACAAAGATCACCTTCTCTAACCTAGTGTACTCACTTATCTTAGTGTGGAAGGCTGCCAAAGAAAGCAATAGAATTATTTAAACAATATAAAAAATCCACATGTCCTATTGTCCCTATGGAGGCCAGACAAAACAAGGCCATATTTGTAATGGCTTACAAAATCCAAAGTAAAATAAGTTCATTGTTGCACATTGTCAGTGGAGATTCTGGCGCTTGTCAGTGGTTAGGTTGCTGGCTTTGAAACTGGGAGAAAAAATATTATTTTTGGTTTTACTTTCAACATAACAATATATGATGAACATGAGGTTACAGAAAAACAAATAATGTTTGCGGGCATTTTTTAATTGACAGTAGATCAAAGAATAACCTAGTTAACCAGGAAATCTATTGCTGAAATGTTTCACAATTTTTTTCTGAAAAAAGATGCATTTTATGCAAAAAATTTGGCATAGAATTCATCCTTGTGAAAAAAAAAATACTTGCAGGCACAATTTTAATTAATTTTGTCCCTATTACAACAAAGCAGCTGCTGCAGATCAGAGACTCCGCAGCTGTCCCTGCAAACACATCTGGAGATCGGTGCACACGCAGCTAGGGCACAGCTCTAACAGTATCGCACCGTTGCGGGGGCGCTGCTGGGTCTGCGCTCTCCGCTCACGGACAAACCGTGCGAGCGCCCAGGGCACCGGCAGTTGCTGCAGATCAGAGACTCCCCAGCTGTCCCTGCAAACACATCTGGGAATCCGTGCACACGCAGCTAGGGTGCAACTTTAACAATATTGCACCGTTGCAGGGGCGCTGCCTCCGCTCATGCTGCCCCTGCGCTGCCCCGGGCACAGAACCAAACATCCCATGGATGGTTCCTTTTGAGTTTAATAACTGCATCTTGCAGGGGGCTTTGCCCTGCAAGGAGACTCTGAACACAACGAGCCAACACATTTACAGGGATCTCCATGAAACCATCGATCCTGGGCAGGATCCATGGGTAGAATGAGCGCTGTATTCCGTCTTCCCTTTCATTTAGCAGGCTTGTGAGACGCCTGCTCAAGAAAGCCAGGATAGCAGATAATGCGTGAAAGAGTCTGGTTCAGATTTCCTCTACAGCTTCTACCAAAAGCAGCCATGGAGGCAACACACTCCATCACCTGCGCAATCACCGTGACAAAACTAGGACTTAAAAATCACCTGTCTTAGCAGAGCTATCTCCTCACTAACCTACATTTCAAGTCCTAAGTTTAGCACCTCAATATCAGTAATTCATGAATAGAAAGATCAGAATGAACATAGGAATTTAGTTGTTAAAAATAACAGTTTAAAAAATAAGTAATTTTCCTAAAACACTTTTCCAAGTGTTCAAAGGGCTATGCAGGAACTAGCTGAGTGAAGCTAAATAACAGCCTATCTCCTATGACAAATACTTTTGTGCTTTTTTTCTCACTCGGGCCTCTGCTGGAACTGAAATGTCATTCTGCTCACGGTGTATCTTGACCTGCTCTACGCAGTGCTCAACACGGAGGTCATGATGTCTGGGTTGTTGTTAATGACAGCGGTGCTCATTGAACACATCGAGCCTCCAAGCACAGAGAGCAGCAGCGCTGCGACAAGGGCTTAATCTTGTGAGTCCATGTAAGAACATTAAACACATCATCAGCACCCGGCGACAGCTCCGTACTATGTAAGAACATTAAACACATCATCAGCACCCGGCGACAGCTCCGTACTATGTAAGAACATTAAACACATCATCAGCACCCGGCGACAGCTCCGTACTATGTAAGAACATTAAACACATCATCAGCACCCGGCGACAGCTCCGTACCACAGGAGCGGCCCAGGAGGGACCGCGGCCCTTCCCGAGGGCAGAACTGCTGCTCTGCACGGCACGACCCGAGAGCGTGACGGAGCGCCCCGCCCCGCCCACCCGCACGGGGACGCGCCGGGATAACGGATCGGATACAACCAATGCACGAAGTGCACACCGTTCCATGAGGAGGGTGCAGTTCCTCATAGCCATAACCCAACAGGAAACTAAAAACAGTTTGAACTCATCTGCACCTCCTCTTGACAAGGGTCAACAGAAAAAAAACATTATTACTAATGTAATCCTGCATGAATCTCTGTGAACCTCATTTAAGCAGGACACTAGGGTATGTGGATCCCTGGAACAGCTGCCGCTCAAAGCACTTGGACTCACAGCCCCTTCTTCAAACGCAAGGCAGTTCACCACAAAGCTGGATTCCAGAATATATCTCTTTATTTAGACTGGTTTTAAATCATGCTGTTAGCTTCTCCCATCCTATCAGGCTTTTCCCTATCAAGACAAACACAGCAGCCAAGGCAAAGAGATGACTTTTTGAGCAGTCTGGGACACATGAAAGTGCTAAAAGGTATAGTGGGACTGATCCTTACTAAAATACCTTTGAAAAGTGCATAAAAATTCTCAGAATATTCTTTTGAATCTGTTAAATAAAATCATGCATTTTATTACTGGCATTGCAAGCAGTAATTGTACTGAATTTTATGAATTATTTCATTACTCCTAGAGGATGGAAATGGAAAGAACTAAATTGGTCTATATTATTAAAAAAATGCTATTTTTATACGGAAATTAGGACATATTTTGATTAATAAAGGATCCCACCAGTGGAGGCAGGATTTCTCTGCAGTGACTTGCACATGAGAGAGAGGAATATTTCAGCCACCCCTTTTGTGTGTGTTCACATATGTAAAAATTGAAAACTATATGCCATACTTACAGAACTAACCCAATTTTCAATAGGTACAGTGGATAACTGCAGGAAACAATTTAGACAAAATGGTGTCTTCAAGAAGACAGAAACTCACAGTGAAATTTTAAGAATCCTAAGACTTGTTCAAAAGTCTCTGCAAATTTAAGATAAACTTGGCAGGAGTCCCACAGCCATGGCTGAAGCAAGCAGGAATCCTTATTAACTAACTTTAGAAAATGGACCATTTGGGCTAAAATATAAAATGTTATTCTACCTATTTAAGAATCTGCTGTGACGCTGCGCTTTCGTAATCCCTTACTAGCTAATGATGGACTTTAGCTGATTTTATGATGATTTTTTAAGAACTCTTGCACAATGCAAATGATCAGGTGCATCCCTGTCATTCCTAATGCGAGCCACTGCAATGCACGGAAGCAGAAATGGTCACAGAAGTTACAGCATTATCCCACCTCCCTCCTGGAAGGAAAGTCGTCCTGCAGAAGGACTGAGTGTTGGGAAGGCCCTTGGCTCATGCCCAGCTCCAAGGTGATCCAGCGCCTCTGCTGACAGAACGGTCTGGCTCCTGCTTCCCTAATTAATAACGATGTCCGTGTTAAGGGAGAGCAGTAAATTTGTCTAACGGAACCCAGCATGGCTCATTAGCCAGGCCTGTTCACATTAAGGTATAAGGCTTCTTTATGGTGGAGAAGTGACATCATCTTCTCTTCTGAAGAAGGAACCTTTTCTCTTCTGAGAGAAAGGGTCTCTCTGTCCTCTCCAGCAGCTCCTTTTTGGTTACCCAAGCCTTTTCGTTTCATCCATAATGAGTCCAATAAATACTCATATTTAGGCTACTAGTGAACTCCTCTAGGATGCAAGAAGCTCTCAATGTTTGCTATAGAATGAGGGAGCTGAGGTCTTTGTATCCTGATCTGTGCACAAGGAGGCACAAACAGGTCTGCTCCCACGCTCATGGCATGATTTATATCCAGGCAGAGGTGCTCAGAAACTGTATGAAAGGCTGGTTTACCTGCAATGTTAGATGAAGTATAAGGAGCAATTGGAAGATAGAATGTAAATATTAATGACACGGGTAAGGAGTTTCTGACATGATCAGCGATCCATGTAAGATGTTCAAAAACACTCCAGTCAGAGTTATACACACGAACAGCCTAAGGAGACCTTGACAGTTAGGACGATTTCATTGCAGCTTTCAAAATGAAGTACACATTCAAGTCTGTTAAATTAATTATACTAATTGTTAATAATGCATAGATGGAATGAATAAACAAGACCTGTTTCCTTTGTTGACTAGCTTGGGCAGTTCTGAAAAGCAGAACTCCAAGTGGACTATCGGAACCAATATTCAGACCCGGTATCTTTACTCTCTGAAGATAAAAAATCCTCTCCCATCAATTAAAGAGTGCAATAATTCCAAGGTATAGAGGCTGTAAAAACTAATCAGATGATGCTCTTACACTCACAGGCATCAATGCCCTGGTTATATTATCTCTTGTGCCTGTTCTCTTCCTCTTACTAGATGCATCTACATAAACAGGAAAATCCCCCTTTCTGAGAGACTCTAATGATCCATGTTTTTTTGACTGATACCCCAGAAACACCGTTCTGGCCTCCCCATTAGTTGCTGTAGAAATGGTTCTAGTAGCGCTTATAGGCAGCAAAGAACAGATCCACTTCAGAGCAAATAAAATCAAACTAAAACTGAACAGAATATTATTTAATGGACAACTTTTGTCAAAGTAATTTTTCTTGCAGGACAATTAAACGAATTTTCCTGTGAGGAAAGAGGATTTTTTTTGTTACAATTAAATTCCATTAGAAAGATCAGTTTTACTGCATAATAGACACAGAGATTCCCTCTAACCTGTTAATTACAGCAGTGAGCTAGAACCTAAAATTAATTTCCTATTCTGACAGATTAAAAGGTGATAAACTGAAAGACTTGCGTTTGAATCAGAACAGGAATCTGAACATAAATTTCTTATAAGCCAGAGCCATAATTGTATCTTAATATTCTCTACCTAAAAATGTTTTTAATTTTACGTCATATTAGAACAATTTTCCAAAGTTGTCATAAAGCAGAACTTTTAGGAAAAAAATATTTTAATACTTTCTATAAAAGCAATAGTGGTTATTTTCTTCTAAAGAAAAAACAGAAAATAATGTAATCACAGACAGCAATTTTTAAAAGTACCAGCCACCCTTTGCAGAGATATTAAAGTTTTGGATGTCTGTAAAATTTGAATTGCTATTGTTTGGAAATGAAGTTCAAGATCAAATCCCTGGGGAACAAATATTACTATAATATATAATTAATTCAGACAGCAACTTTACTTCCATGTTAGTTGTCTGTCTGAGGATATCTTAGTTAATATTTTTAGTTAAGCATCTTGAACAGTCCTGTGAAAGAAATTAGGAAAAGAAATGCAGTGGATTTTTCTGTGTTAAACACATACACAAAGCAACACTCCAGGACATTCCAGGAACTCTGTTCCTCAGTGATTCAGTCTGATATTTGATAGTGACTAGTGACTGCTTTGGCTGCCCTCTTAAAAACCCACGTTAGGATCTACTGAAAAGTTCAGGTACCCTTAGTAAAATTGGACTGTTCCCTTTTTGAGGATTTCATTCTGGACATGGTCCAGCTTATGAAGC